TCCGCGCCTGCTGCCAAGAGCTGGCTGGGAACAGGCAAAAGGCTGCTGCTGTCGGTGCCTGCATAATAAAACCGAGATCTCTCGGTCATGAAATAATAATAATAAGAATGATACTTGCCGCTCTGCAAAGCAAGGGGAGGCAGGGGCCGGATCTTTGTTTTCTCTGTGGCATGTCTGGATGGGCAGGGATCAAAGAGGCAACCTCGACGCCGGCCGTTTTCCATTGGTAGGACGCGAGGCTTCCTGGAGATCTAAGCTAGGTGGGAGAGGTTTCTGCTGTCGCAGTCCTAAGGGCATTCCGTAGAGTTCATTTCCAAGGAGGGATCCGGCTGGTGATTCAGCAAAGACAGTAAGCGAGCTAGTGGACGAGAGAGTGGTTTTCTGAGGACTTCACGCAGTTCTCCGAGGTTGGGATCCCGCCTGCGAGCCCCCTCCCCCGCTTCCCGGCTCCTTATCTTGGGCCTTCTGCGTTTCACGCCCTGTAGGTCAAGGGTACCCATTTCCTTTCTTTAAATAAAAAAAAGTTGTGAACGTATCTCTGTCTGACTACAAATATTAGGTTTGAGAGGGGGGAGGGAGAGAAAACAGTGCCACTTGAGGTAGCTGGGCTCCAGCGGCTGTTAGAAGGAGTTAACTTGTGAGTGAATCCACCTGACAGCACTTAAAGTCAGGTCGTAAAAACAGCGTCCTGGGGTGATCTCCCCTCCCTCCTCCGCGGTCTTGCTTTCATGCCAGATGGCGAACAAAAATCTAAACCGTGTTTCTTTTATTGCTTTTAAGGGCTGCTCAGATAATGCCGCTGCCGTGNACCTAGCTTTGAATCGAACAAGGACAGCTCCTTTCTCAGGGCATGCATTTCATGGCTAGGAGGCACCCTTTCTGGGAGGAAAAGGCGTCCTGTGTCCTGATAAGTGTCAATAAGAATCTCCAAGTTATTTTCAGGGAAGGGTGGCTGGCGTGGGCGGACGCCGTACCGGCAGTTCCACTGCTGAACGTGAGGTGGGCGACTGGAGGAACAAAAAAAGAGTCATTGAGTAGCTCCCGAACAGAGAAAGTTAAGCTATTAAAGGGGGGTGGGATTGGTTTTGCTCTCTCTCTCTCTCTCACCCACACCTTTGCTCCGCGGTGGTTTTGCACGCCCAGCGTGAAGCTGGTGAGCAGAGGCGAGATCTGGTGCAGTGCGCGCTAAAGGAGGTGGCGGCGGCGGCGGCGGCGGCGGTCTTTACGGTACATTGTCTGGTGCGAGATCAAAAGCCAGAAGCTCTCGTGCGTTAAGAGGCGAGATTTGCACGCTGTGGTTGAGCCCAGCGGCAGCTCGCGGGCTCACGCCGCTAGCAGGTGTACGGCCGCCGAGCTGGCGCTCCTGCTGCTCCCTCTCGCATTTGCCTTGGCAGCAGCGGGAGGCCGCTGCAGGGTCCTACACCCCGCCCCTTCCCTCTCCTCCCAGCCGCTCGCCTGAGCTGGGCCATCATCCCACCAGCTGCCGCTTCCTAGAGCCGCAGGGACCGCGCTTGAGGGAATATATACTATATATTCCATGAAGTGGATATCCTGATATGCAGAAAAGAGATACTACCTACAGTACTGCAGTTAATGTTTGCAGTTACTGTAGATCCAAGGCATGCCCTTTAACCCTTTCAAAAAAATTATTTTTAAGAACGACGTTACTCGTGTTAATCGTAAGAAAAAGTTATGTTTAAGAACGGTAGAAGAAACTACACCATTCTGGAGAAAGAGGGGGCGTAGCCATCATTGGGTGACTAGGTGTAAAGGGAAAGAGCTCTTGAATGAGCACGTTTTAATAGCAGGAGGTGGACTTTTTTACGACAGGCAGTTTATCAAGCAGGATGGTAAAGTTCTACCTGTATAATCCCTATAGGCAAGGAATTACAGGAACGTTGTCTCGTTTAGCATGTGGTCACTCCATACAGCTGTTCTGCTATCAATAGGTTGTGATGCAAGGTCTAGAAAGATTTGTGAGCTTGAAGTCAGGCTAGGGGGCTCACATAATAAAATATATGGTAGAATTTCTTACCCATTTTTTTCAGTTACCTTTGTGAACAAGAGGTGAGGAAACTTTAGCCCTCTTGATAAACTGGGTGTCCCACAAACCCCTTCCATTTGGCTATGCTGGTCAGAGGAGATGGGAGCTGAAGAACAAAGCATCTGTTGGGCCAAAGTTCCGCCACTCTTGCTGTTAAGTTACAGATAACTATTTTCATTTTACTGGAGGGAAGTACTGTAAGGTGCAAGATTATGTGAAACTATGAACTATACAGACTCTTATGGGAGGATTCTATTCTGCAAACCTATGTGCTTACTTAGAAGTAGGCCCTATTAAATTCAGTTGAAGTTACTTTTGAGTAGTTAAGGGTAGGCTAAGGTTGCGTAGCCTGCAACCTACGTTCACATCAAGTTATTCAAAAGAACATGTGTGTGTGTGCGCGCGCACACACACATTCACATCAAGTTATTAAAAAGAACATGTGTGTGCGCGTGCACACACACACACAAAAGAGAGAGAGAGAAATCATCCAGACAAATGGCATCTTTTAGTAATGTAGCTGAGAGCTGGAAAGGGATCAAAGAAGTGAGCCAAGCTACATTCTGTAGTACATATATCAGAAACTGGAGGTCACTTGTATACAGTAGTTCAATTGCAAACCCATGGCCCTAGAAAGTTATGATTGTTCCTTCCCCTGGATGAGTTTGGACAAATTATGTCAGCTTTGCACACCATGGATACTTGAACCTGGCTGATGCTTCTTACACAGAACACAGTTCCCAGCCAGAAAGATTTAGAAGGTACATTAGAAATGTGGGAAATAGACTTAAGAAAGGATTAGTTTGTCATGAGGATAAAAAAATTAGGAGGCAGAAGAGAAATATGGAGGAAGATATGATATCAGATATACAGTACTTGGATTCAGTTGTATCCAAACAATTTGTTACATGGTAGTCTAATGTGTCTTCAGATGCACTTTCAAGCACGAAGTTCCTGGAAGTAAAACTGGAGAAAATTTGTTATACAGTAGTTTGCCCAGAGGAACTCAGGAAATTGCAGTTCCACGATATGGCTCTGGAGTTCCAGGAGAGATTCTCAGGTGTCTCATGTCATTCAGTATTGTGGCAACTACACAATGAATGGATTATTTAATTTACATCATAACTGTTTTTAAAGCCAAAGTTTAACATGTGTTTTCTAAACTTCTGCACATTGTATATAAATCAATCTTGTTCCTTAAAGTGAACATGCTGTGCTTAGGGCCCTACAGTACTTGGTATCAGTGCTACATATTTCTAATCACAAGTAAGCCCAAAGGAGTTTAATGGGAGTTTGCTCTTATCCCAGCTAAATCTGTGACTACACTGGCAAGCCAAATCACTCTGATTTGATTAGCAGCCTGTATTATGGCAGAATTTGAAGTGCTCACACGGGCTGCAGATTGATTTGGGAGTTCAGTGTTCACACTCCATGCAATTTGCATTTCAACTCACAGCCTACCCTCCTTTACTTCCTTCCTTCCTCTGGTCCCACCTCTGCCAATCCTTTTATGGCTTGCTGTCAAGCCGCTTGGTTTCAAAAGGGTTGCACAGTGTTCCAGAAAAGGTGGCAGCATTCTAAAATTCTTTTTAAAATGTACCATATACCACAGGAATGTCTTCATCTGGGTTGTTTGTTCGTAATTTTAATTTTTTTCTCCTCTGGAAGTGATCTAGCATTAAACTTCTTACACATTAGATCACCTTATTAACACTACTAGTGCTATTCTCATACATGTAAAAAATTAAAAAAAAATGGAGGTGAGTCAGAGGAAAATGCAGAAGTGGGTGCCCCTGCAGTCCTGAGCATCATATCCGAGCTGCCTAAATTACCAAAATACCACCCATGGACACCCCCCCTTTACAAGAATGAACCAACAGATCACATGAGAAAGTCCACTTGAATTGTTCCAGCTTGAAAAGAGTAGAAGCCCCCAGCAGCAGATAAAAAAGGATGCATTAGGAGCAAATAAATAAATAAATAAATAAA